CTGTCTGTTTTACGCTTCCGTTCGATGTTCAGGCTTATTTCCACATTGTCTGTATCTATAAACGCTTCATCTCCGATATTGCACACTATCAACTTATAAATGTAACAAATTCTCTACATTTATGAAGAGAATCCTTCATCCTTGTCTCTGATAAAAAGTGTTTTTCAGTAGATTGTATCAGAAATTTCCATGATACGGCGGAATCTCCACATAGTTCTTTGCACGACCGGACTGTTTCAAAATATTTGATCCAAAATTTTGTCCTACGGCCAAATATCCAGAAGATTCGTTTATTACAACCAAACAGACCTTGGGCGTTCGGAACCTACTTCCTACAAAATCGCTATTTTTCATTAAATGAAACTTTCATGTATATCTTCTTATTATTATCATTATTATTATAAGAGGAATAATCTTTAATTTTCTTTAACATCTCAAAACATTTTTATTGAAATATAGACGTAATTGATACATTATATTCACCAAATCCCGCTCTTAAATGTTTCTTGTATCTTTTTTTTTTAAATATAGTTTAATATCATTAAGCCTTGTCATATTTGATTAGTAAAAGTGTTATATCGACAAGAGACATGTTTAATATCCTTGTATAAATCTCTCAGATTAGACAGTTAACATCTCTGGATACATTTTTCCAATCGATCTAATGAGTTTTCCGTTATATTTTTTATCTGTGTCTGTGACATTTATTTTATTTGGACAACGTTGACATGTAAAAACTTTATGGAAAATGTCTCTCGCTTTCAATGAAATCTTTTTTCTTTTTTGCCACGTCCTTTCAGATCGCAATCAATCTCCACATCTTCAATTCTTCCGTTGTTCTAAATAATTCTCGCCCTTGACTCTGGTCTTGTTCTGCTAGCCATTCACTCCAAACTCACGTAGAACACGTCCTGCTTTTACATATTCCAGAAATATTAGCTCTCCTCTCCTGATTGTCAGCATTAGCTAGGTTTGAGATCCTGTTTTCCTACAAACATCCTCATAACGCCTGTATTTAGTTCGTTGTATTTTCAGTATTGGTAGACCCACAGCTCCGTCATTTCAAGTCTCTTCATAATAAGTGAGGAGGTTGCCTTGCATTTGATGGCTTATAGGTGATTAGATATTATAGGATAGTCAAGTACCCTATTCCTTTGTTTCTCAATCCTTTAATATTTTGTTCCGTTTCTAAACGTTGACTTTCTATATTACTATACACTTTCAGATTCTATTATATACCGTCCTTGCGCATAACTTATCATCAGATTAGTGATGCGCAAGTGATTGTAACGAGTAGTTTCCTCTACTCACTTTCATTCACAAAGTTTGGGTCTATCCTGATATGTTTTTCCGACGCTTCCAAACATCGGCGCTCGCTGGGATCATCTTATTGTACCAACGTGAATGTTCTAAACCACTCAGTTATATTGTTTAAGAAATATATTAAACTAGCTTATAAGCTACCTTATCGGGGTGGGGTGTACCTAAGCTAGCTCCTGCTGAGGGGTCCTTATTGGGCCTACATAAAAATAGGTAGGGAGACGTAGATGTGATAGTCAACAATAAACTGCAGAACTCAAAATTGATCGCTGCATTTAAGTATTGCCTTAATATATAGTTTACCTTTTAAAAGTTCGACGATAATTCTTTTGCCGTCATTTAATTTAAAGACAGCTTGATGTACGTAGGTCCTTACTTTCCGTACAAACAATTATTTTTATTTCATGGGTAACTTTTCCTGATTTCACAATTAATCTCGATTATTCCCAAATTTATTTCCAATCTATAAAAACTTCTATAGTACAAAAAAAAAATTCGTCGCAAAAAAAATCACATAAAAAAGTCCCCGAAAACAATCACAGTAATAAAAACTTGGTAATCCCAGATTTCAGGATTGCGGGTCCGACCCGTATTGTTAATTTACTCACGATGTCGGCCTGATTCCAAAATGGTATCTGGGCTGGGCTACGTCCTCTAAAAATAAAATTGAAAAAAATGTGACACACAGACATTAGCATTTATTACGTAGAAGACCTATCGTTTCTCGTGTTGTTAAATATGAAATTGAGTAATAACTAATTTCCGCTTTAGGAACCAATTGTAATGACGAATGTATCAACCTAACTAACAATTCCTTAATTGTATCATAACAGGTGATGAAAAAAGAATAAATTTCCACAAGCGACCCCAAAATGTGAGCGATATGGAAGAAAGATAATGTTGTGCGTGTGGTGGTATTGTCTGTGTATTATTCCAGTAAATTTTGAATGAATCTCTAACTATTTACATTGTTTGATTGTTGTCCTCATCTTTATTGACATGTTCACGACGTTTCGGTCGTCATACGGTCCGCCCTTCAACAGTCCGGACAATGTAAATAATGTAATTAATTACAATACCTCATCTCAGAAATATAGACAGGTATCCGTAAGTATTTGGTCGAAAAGTGCCCTGTGTTTGTCAAATGGAGAAAATGTTGTTATTCTCCATGACAATACAAGGCCGCGTACAGCAAGAATAACACAGGAAATAAAATTGGAATTCATTTAATCTGTTCTTACCTATCCATCATATTTACATGGCTTTGCATTAACTTCTCATTACTTTTTCCGATTTCTTCAAAATGCTTTGATGGGGATAAATTCTTTTATGAAAACCAGATTCAAGAGTTCGTCGAAAGCCATTTCACATAACAACGCGCGAAGAGCAGACCATTAAATACCATTACAAATTATGGTGAGTTGAATTAAATGCAATTTGACTTGCTTTAAATATAAAGCTGGTAAACAAAATGAAAGTTATTCATAACTCAATGTAATATCTATTTAAAAAAAAAAGTGTATTCATTCTAATCTCTCCCTCCCCCCTCTCTCTCTCTCTAATATATATATATATATATATATATATATATATATATATATATAAACCAAATAATTAGATATTAGCAAGTGAATTGCGTTAGCGTGAATACACAGATAAGCGAATAAATATTTACTTAATTTAGCATAAGGTATAAACAAAACAGTGCTCAGGGTGGTTAGACAAAGCTCACACACACACACACACACACACACACACACACACACACATATATATATATATAATAAGAAGAAAGGGTTCACGTGTGCTTCTTATATGTAAAATATTTATTTTAGTTAATAAAACAAGGACAAACGAAAGGTGTACCAATACAATCTGTACGATAAACATTTATTATTCATTAACCATGACAGAAATGAAACACGGAAAGAAAGAATTTAAGTACGTATTTTCGAATACGCCTGTGTCCTTCATCAGCTATGTCCTAGCTAATATATTTTGATGTTCTGCCACCTTACGTTCTTCCCTCATTACGCACTATTCAGTAATGGAAGTATTACCATGTACTGTGAGGGTTACTTTCCTAGCACCCTCTTTTATACCATCCTTGGTTCTATTATTATAACACCTTTACATATTAGCTTATGTAAGAAGTGGGGAAGATTAGTGTGGGTACATATTAATTTTGTATATGTATTTATATCTTTACGTGTATTGAGATTCAAATGCTTGTGTGGTGGTTTGTATATTTTTACACATTTATTTGTACTTATTTACACATGCGCATCTATATATGTATACGATTTTCCTCTTTGTTTTTCTTTTATTATTTTATTCTATTTTCAGTAATCCTCTTTTTTGTTAACAATAGATTTCCGAATTTTTATCCAAAACATTTTATTCATTTTATTGTTCCTTCCCTTGTTTTCATTTTATTTTATTTAATAATCTATTATTACTATATATTCCATTTTTCCTCCCCATTTTTTCTCATCACATGTTATTCTAACAACAGCCCGTCTTTCTGAACTGTCTACACGCGAAACTTCTTTCCCGTTCCGCAACCTATAACTCTCTTCATCTATTTTTACAACCTTACTCTCCCAATCCCTTCCACTAATAAACGTAGACCTGCATAACGCTTTTACACCGGACCAAAATTTTTAAATTTAAGTTTATTTTCATAAAAACTTTCGCAAGCGAGGAATCAGACAAATTGGGTTTTTGCTAACAAAGATTTCCACCAGAAAATACACCGTCTACAAAAATATTTGTCCGTGATTAATTCCCATTTTTCTGTTTATATCTCGTTCCGTTGATAGACACAGTCGTGTCCGAAAATTCCGAAATTAAAACCTTTTTTCCTTGCTTCATTTCTGTCATATGCCTAATAATTATTATTTAATAAATATTTATCGAACTGATTATGTTGGTACCCTTTCGTTTGTCCGTTTTATTAACTATCCTATTTTACATACACACACACACACACGTGTGTGTGTTATTCTCTCTTATTTCTGCATGAATAGCAGAAAAAATACCTTACATCTACAACGGCTTTATTTGATAAATTTAAAGTCGGAAAGATAACTATTTTCAATTTTTCTTAATTTACTAAATAAACACCTGTCTAGTTCGACATATATTTGTCATTAGATTAACTCACACATTTTCGATTATATGTTCCTATGTATGTGTTTGTGTCTTCCTCGTGTGTGCGTTTTATGTTTCCATGACATTATTCTAGTGTGTCAATTTTTTCCTCTTTTATTTCATTTTTTTCTATCTGTAAATTTTTTTAAATGTCTGCATTTATATCGTCTAAACATAGCTCTTACAAAGTTTTTTCTTTATTCTTAGTTTTAAATGATTCTAGTGTTATATCCAAACGCAAAACAGCGTTTCGAAAATATCCACGTTTTTATACGTCCAATTGAAGACCATCAATCTATATAACAACCTGACTATTTGCAGTCAGATGCGATGACGCACTTTCCGGTATATTTAAATTACCGAAATATTAACTTATTTTCGTTCCTTAGCCACGATCGACCACACATTGAATTGATTGATCGATTCATTTTCTATGGCTTATAAACCTTTTGCAAGCTATTTCAAGTCAGAAAATATTTTTAGATTGTAAGAATATTTTTAGATAATAATGTCTTGCTAATTAACACTTACAGCACTTAGTATTTCCAAGTGGTCACCCATCTAGGTACTGACCAAGCTCGACGTTGCTTAACTTTGGCGACCGATCGGGAATCGGCATTTCAACATGACGTGGCTGTATGCCCCACACCCTGAAAGGACACGGTACACAGAAGAAATAATCATCATAATCACAGTAGGGTTGCTATTTTTGCTCGTGTCTTAGTCAAAAATTAATAAAAGCTAAAATAGTTCATTTAATCTATAGTATTATTTAGTCTCTTTGTATATGCGGTCATTATGCTTTCCTACCTCGGAGCAATTTATACAATCTGTTTAGTGCCTGACCCAGTTTCGCCGTCTCTGAAGGAAACCGTAATTGTAATATTCTTATCTGTTTTTAGTGTCTTCACTCTTCTTATATTTAGTTGCTCTTAGATAATTATGGTCAATAGCCATCTAGCGCAATAGGCTAGAACTGTGCACCATAGATACATATGCAGCCAATACAATGACCCTGCGGTATCGTTTGGAGGCGGGCTTCCTGGGCTGAAACCAATGGCCAGTTGTTGTGTCGGAAACCTACCACCCCTCTTGAATATGAACTTCTGCGTAAAAAGACTTTAAATAGTGGCATGTCAGTTGACATGGGGAAGACAGATAGACAGAGAAGTTCTTAGCTGAGCTAGTTATTGACTACTCAGGCGATTTCTGTACCATTTTACCAACCTATTAAAACCCTTTTTATTGTTACGTGTTATTTGGCGTTTGTCTCTACTAACCCCAAATCAACATCATAACACCAGTATTAGTGCTCCATCAAGGTAGATGTGCATTTAACAAAGACGAGCCTCCAGGTGGAAATTGGGTTCTTGCTAGTACATTTGCACAAGACAAGCTACGTATGAATGAATACCTCTTCAGCATTCAACTCAGATATGTCAAGAGAACTGCTAGTGCTAAGTTGCGCAGGAACCCCACGTTTATACTCCGTCAGGGGATTGATGAAGGTAGTTAGGAAACGAATGAAATAGAATCAGGTTTTCTCAGCGTGGAAATCGTATAATATTAAGCGGAAAAATTGGGAAAAACAAGGGAGATAAGAAAAGAGGGAACGATTATGAAAGAGTGATGATTGCAGGTTAGAAAATGTAGAAGAAAAGACTAACCATCAATTGTGAGAAGACATAAATTATGGTTGTCTACAAGAGACAAAAACATCCAAGATGCGAGCTAGGTGCCAGGGATCAAACAAAAACTGGTCTTTAAACATCTGTGAAGTTTTAATAAAAACACAGGAAATGTGAGACCAAAATCTGAAGGCGCATTGGAATAGTTAAAGAACCTTCAAAAACGAAATAATTTACCAAGGCAACAAAAAATGTTATTGTTATACCGTACCTATGGATGATAATGGGTATGTCCCATTTCCAATAAATACATTGGTATATTCTGTATGTTGTCTTCCATTTGGAATTCACATCCAAGTGTGCTTGTCAAACTCTCTGCCTTCGGGTAGAGAAGAACCCAGATGAGACTTTGCCGAAGGGCAGAGTCTCGTCTGGGGTGGTAGACAGCTACCCTACCCCGTATTTTACGGGGTCTAAGGTGAAGATTTGCAAGAGCCTACGGGCTCGGATACCCAACAATAAACATCCGACCGCGTGGGGCGGTTAGTGGATATTTCCACTTGGAATTCACTTCCAAGTGTGCTTGTTAAACTCTCCGCCTCCGGGCATAGAGGAATACCGACGAGGCTATGCAGAAGGGCAGTGTCATCTGGGGTGGTAGACAGCTACCCGACCCCGTTTTTTACGGCGTCTAAGAGGAATTTTTGCCCGAGCCTACGGGCTCGGATACCTCACCTTAAATTCGGCCTTATGTCACATTTGACCGCGTGGGGCGGTTGGCCAATATCCTTCCACTTGGGAATTCGATTCCAAGTGTGCTGATCAAACCCTCTACATTCGGACAGAGAGTATCCCCAGACAAAGCTTTGTCAAGGGGCAGAGTCTCGTCTCAGCTACCCGACCCCGTTTTTTATGGAGTCTACGTGGAATTTTGGCTGAGCCTACGGGCTAGGAAACCCCACAATAAAATTCGGCCTTGTGTCACATCTGACCACGTGGGGTGGTTAGTGGATATCTTCCACTCATGAATTCGATTCCAAGTATGCTGGTCAAATTCTCTGCTTTTGGGCAGAGAGGATACCCAGACGAGGCTATGCCGAAGGGCAGTCTCGTTTGGGGTGGTATACAGCTACCCGGTCCCGTGTATACGGGGTCTACGGGGAATTTTTGCCCGAGCCTACGTGCTCGGTTCTGCCCCGCATTAAAAAATGGCTTTGTGCCACATCCTGCCTCGCGGGAAGGTCAGGTAAATACCCTTCCACTTGGAAATTCACTTCCAAGTGTTCTGGGCAAACTCTCTGCCTTCGAGCAGGGGGGATCCCCCGACGAGGCTATGGGGCTTAGATACCCCCAACACTAAACTTCGGCTTTGTGCCACATCAGAACGTGTGGGGAGGTTAGTGAATATCTCCACTTGGGATTCACTTCTATCTCACCACTAGCAGTTGATTACTTACTACAAACCGCTGCTGAATCTTGTATGTTGTTTCTGTTATAAATATTATCATTCCATTTCCAATCTTCCTTTTGGTTATTCTTAGTCACTAACCTTTAGCAGTGTGACAACAGTTATAAACAAAGCGCTCAAATACTATGTAATATCACTTCTCCTCTGTCAATGATTGCTGTATAATTTCGTCATAGATTAAGAGAAGACTTGAGGCAAAAGATGTGGTTCTACAGATGGATACTGAGAATTCTATCGATGGTACATGTAAATAACGAGAGTTTTAAGGAAAATGGAAACGAAAAGGACAGTTATACATAAAATCAGAGACAGTTGAAATTTCTAGGAAATAATGAGAAAGGCCTGGATATATTAAATTCAAAAATGACAGACGAGAGCAATAAGTAACTTTCCTAACGAGTTTGTGTAAATGGTTGGCAGAAAATGAAGAGGTAATGATCGTCAAATGTTACAAAGTATAGGAAGTTGTCGAGAACTGCCAACGATATTTTAAGAGCACAGAAGAAGGAAAAGTGGGGAAAGGTTGATGACGTAAAAGAAAAGAGGCTTTCTGACAAAATATCAGTAGTTAATGACAAAGATTAAAAGGCAAATCGGAATGGAAAAGCCTAACGACTGCCCAACCCTTAAAATTCTTTATGTAAATATAAAGAGAATAGAATAGAAAATATTTACGCTTTCCTTATTCCTGTTTCGCCCGTGGAATTAATGCATATTTGCTTCATATATGGATGGACGGAAAACACTGGAAGGAACAAGGGAGATAATGAGAAGATATAGGCAAAGGATTATAGAAGAAACGAAGCATAAGAAATAGCTTTGTCAGCGACCGAGAAATTTACAAGGGTCCAGCTAATAGAAGAATAACAAATGATAGTATGAGTAGTTGTGATTAAAAACTGGAATTAAGATTAAATAAATAGTCGTCAAAAATTAATAATGTTTGAAAATGCTACATTAAAAAAAAAAAAGAATACAAATTCTGCGTAATACAGCAATAAAATATCGCTGCCGACACTTGAGTGTGAACGTAGATCACCAGTGAACAAACACAGACGATCCCATTATTGAATTAAATAGACCACATGACTACAGAAGAAATGCGTCAGTAGGAGGTTGCGTGGCATCTAATTAATTCACTATTTCTTCTATTACTATAGGGGTCGCTATTCTCTATTCACTATACTATTTATCTATTCGGGTCGTTATTCGGTGGTTACTTTTCGAATGAGTATTATCGAGCAAATACCATTAGTGTGAGTGTTATTCGAAGGCGTCTGACGCAGTATTGTTAAACGGCGTACAATAATTGTATCTGTGATTATAAAGTCTCTACTACAATGAACATTACGCAAGTGACAACGAGTATTCATTAACATCACAAAAATAATATAGACCATTACTTATTAAAGTTATATATTAAACCAGGTCAAATGATTCAGTGGGATTTCATTCAAATTGAACAGTGAAAATATGTGTCAAGAGTAAATCTCATCATTTGATGAGAACGCAGAAAACAAGGGATTTTTTTAATAATTTTTATTTAATAAAATGCGGTGTAAAAGATCATACAGAAAACACTACAATGTATTACGTAACTACAAAAGTATAACGCTTAGTGAATTAATAACATATAAATATTAATTATATACATATAATACATATAAATATTAATTATGCATTATATAAAAATAATAAAGAAATATACAAATGTCGTTTGTCAAAGGGAGCATGTGCACAAATTCTTCAGGATGAAACGTTGCAATGTTCTGAAAACACGCAGTTTTTATAATTGCATTTTGTTTTATTCGAAGTGAATAAAAACACAATTAGTAAAAACACATCTGTTGACATTTTTATTAAGGCATTTATTACTTACTATGTAACTTTTTCTACTAGAATTCCCCCAATAGAAAATTCGAGAGCTGCTCAGGTTAGAGGGTCACTGAATGAGGTGTGTGATAGGAATGAAAGAGTGAGTTGGAGTAAGTGAAGATTATGCAGATTAGAAGGATAAATTTTGTGTCATAGACACAAATTTTGTGTCATAGAAGATAAATATTAACTCCTAAGTTAAAAAACTTAGGAGTTAATATTTATCTTCCTTATTCTCATAATCTTCACCTTCTACCATCGCCTCTAACATTTACATTTATATTATCCAACTCATTGAGTAACTCGCTAACTTGAGTGACACTCGAGCCTTGCATTAGGTGAATTCTAGTACAAAAGTGATTAATTACTTGTGAAGTGATAGCTATTAACAAAGTGTGCATTTACATGAGAAACATCACCATATATATATATATATATATATATATATATATATATATATATATATATATATATATATAGGATATCCCAAAAATATACTCGCTCTTTAAATTACTATAAATGAAGTATTGACTTACACAGACATTCACGGCTTAAATTAAATGCATTGATCAGCAAAAAAATCAAGACGTTACAGGAAGTCAAAATCTGCGTACATTCTTTCTAGGATACTTATATATATATATATAGACCAAACTTGTTCA